TTTAATATTATTAATAAGCTTTTTAATTTATTTTATAAAATATGATGTATCAGAAGTGATGATACAGCCTATATATAGTTAATGTAGCGGTAGCGTATAATAATAATAAAGTAGCCAAAAATTAATATTTCTTAAATTATCGACTTCAATAACGATAACTGATAAGGTAATTACTTAAATAATTTAATGATTTAGGAAATATTTGGTTTCCGCTAATTACCGGTTTTGTCGGCATTACAAAAATTCCATCCTAAAAGCTTACGTACGTACGTACTAGAGTGGACTGAGAAATGTGATGTACATATGTGGTCACGTTTTATGTATATCATATGGTCACATATGTGACGCTGTATTTTTTTAAAACTTCTAGTGATGGTTTCTCAATGACTACTGAGTCAAATTCGGTAATTTTTTTTTATTTTAATCCTATAAACTTGTAGAATGAAAATAAGAAAAAATTTATTAAAATTGATCTGGTAGTTGTCGAGAAATATTCGTATAAAATTTTAAAAAATTGTTAAACATCTTAGAAAAACAAGGCTGCAATTGTATTTTTTTAAAACAATACAATTGCGGTCTTGATTTTCTAAGATGTTTTTAACATTTTTTTAAAATTCTATACGAATATTTCTCGACAACTACCAGATCAATTTTAATATTCTTTTTTTTATTTTCATTCTACAAGTTTATAGGATTAAAAAAAAAAAAAATTACCGAATTTGACCCAGTAGTCGTTGAGCTAGAAAACACATATGTGCCCATATGATATACATAAAACGTGATCAAATATGTACATATTTGCACATCACATTTTCCAGTCCACTCTAGTACGTACGTACGTACGGTGCAAAAAATCCAAAAAACCACAATTACACCTTATAGAGACAGTATAAAAAGTGAATTAATTACTTAAATTTATTGAAGTCGATAATTAAGTTTAAAGTGTAACTTAGGTTTTACCACAAAATCCTGAAAGACAATTGCTGGCCAAATTAGTCAGTATTACTTCTTTTGGGAAAATGGCTTTCGGCACGTAGACCGTAACTTGATTATAGGTTACAGATTATGCCAAGCAGATAATCAAGTAACACATTAAAAATTCATATTTCTTAAATTATCGACTTCAATAAAAAGTATTTGCATACATACTTTATTGATATTAATGATTTAGGTTGTCTTTATTGTCCGAAGGACATTACGGGAGAGTCATAGTGACCTGTGTGTCCGCAAATTAAGGGGTTTGATTGGTTGATTGATAAAAACAAACATTTGCTCCGAAAATACCCATTGTCGGGCTGATCCGTGATAAGTCCTTCGGACCTTAAATGGTTTTCATTTACCTAGTAAGGTATAATTGTGGTTTTTTGGTTTTTGGATTTCTACGTAGGTTTATTTATTTTTTTTTTGGCTTTTTTTTGGGAATATTAATTATGTTACTTTTTAATTTAATAATCATTTTTATACGTAGACATTTTTTGCGTTCGTCCAAAAATCCTGATGTAGTAATTCTGTGATTGTGCACTGTTTGTTAATTTTAGTCATATGAGTTCGTAATATGTACAATGTACAAATCAAATCGTGCAAGGTACTACTTCTACATAATCGTTTATGTATTACAAGGACTACGAAAATAGCCAGATGATCTTGTCAATTATTAAATATAAATGTATATCAAAGTTGTCAGAGTAGAATACATTCACATTTTTTTGCAATGTCGTCCATCGTGAATGATGAATATACACTTCAGAATCAGAACCAACAAGATTTGTATGATGCTATTCTCAATACATTGTTTCCAATCCTTTTAATAAAATTTATTGATCTTCAATGGAATAAAAATGAAAGGATGATGAAAAGGATGTTTATGGAACTTAAAGATAAAGAAAAAGAAACAATAAAAAAAACGGTACAAGGTATTCAAGATGCTGCAGATGAAGATAAGTTAAAAGAAGAATACGAAAAAGCCAAAACTAGCGAATTATATAAACAAGTTAAGAATAAAACCATTATTGATAACCTGAACAAAAGAAAAAATGTCAGTTTCGGAATTGATAAGTGTTGGAATATTTCTAAGAAAAATAAACAAGTACTTAAAGATGCTCTTATCGAATTAATTCCTAATACTATAGAAGACAGTGGTGATGATTATAGACTAGAGAACTTTGAAATAAAGTTAAAAGGGTATAAAAAAGAAATTTTAGAATTGGAAGATGATAATAATAATGATTTTGAAATAAAGTTAGAAGAGGGTTTGGAAGATGGTGATGATAATGAAGATTTTGAAATAAAGTTAGAAGAGGGTAAAAAAGAAATTTTAGATAAAAAAGAAAATTTAAAAATATTAAACGAAGTATTAAATGAAATAGACGAAATATTGAAAGAAATTGAAGAAGAAAGAAAGGCATATTTTGAGATAAGTCGGGTATCGACATTTAGAGCTATAGCATTGCCATTACTTGATGATGCATTATACAATACTGTTACTTGGGTGATTCCGTTAGCAGTTGCTTTTGCCTATGATGATCTTTTAAGTATAAAAATTTTTTCCTTTATAAATATGGCTTTACATCTAACTTGTTCTACTATCACTATCTTTTCGAAATATTTGGCAAAAAAGTTTAAATCAAAATTTTCAAAATTTTTTGGATATGATATAATCACTACTGGGGATAAAGGATTCTGCTGGACATTTAAAATTAAAGATCAGCCTACTGATTCAATTAGTATAGACATTGCTGGTTATTTTCTAGTTTTCTTCCCAGTATTTATTATTCCGATATTTTGGATTATTGTTATTAGTAGAAATCCTTTTGATCTAATAAGTTTTGTATTTCTTATATTATTTGCGCTTTTACTTCTACTTCCACCATTTCTTGTTCTTTGTATGTGTTTTTATGTGTATTTCAATTTGTCTGATTCGTTCTATGATATTATATTGGGAATTATATTGACTACTTCATTTTATATGCCAAATATTTTACAGACATTGATTATTCTTTTAAAATGGCCAATCAATTTTTATTTTTTAAAAGCATGCGTCTTTATACTATCTTTATCTTTAATAAGAAATTTAAATTATTATTTTGAGGATATACCTGATAATTTTTTACTTACAGCAACTTCAATTACTCAATATTTTTTGGGAGATTTTATTAAAGAAATGACAAATAAAACAAAAGAAAAGAATAATGAAAAGGAATAACTATTAATATAGCCTGATATTGATATTATATAGTTATTGCATACGAAGTATGCAATAACTGCTGTATTTTATGGACGATGATGATTGGTTGGTAACCC